TTGGGAGCTCGGAAAGGATGTGTTCCATGATGTCTTTCTGGGTGATTTTAGTCGGTCTGATGTCAAAAAGTATTGGGACCATGTTCATTCAACATCTGAATGGTTTCGGGACCACCCGGCAGCTGCATATCCTCGTGAAGGTTTGATACCGCTATCACTCTATGGTGATGAAGTGCAAACTTACAAGGGGAGTGAAGTTGGGACCATTATGGTATTGGCTTGGTGTTCAGACTTCGCATACAACCGGTCAGCTTTGCACCGCTATATGTTGATCGCAACATATAGTGAATATCTGGCATGTGATGAGACGTACGATGACCTCATGGGTGCAGTGTGTGACAATGTCATCAAAATGGTGGGAAACCAAGAATCTTACCCCTGGTCAGGGGAATTCCAATTTATGTTCAGCTCCAACCAGGGTGACCTGAAGTTCCTGCTCAACAATCACCATGTACATCCCTACAAGAACAATGGTTTTTGTAGCTGGTGTTTATGCACAAAATCTGATCCAGCCGGCGATGTGGGCATGACCCTTGGTGATTTTCGTGAAACTGCAACCCACCGCTCTACTTTGATCAGCCATGAGCAGTACATGCAATCAACCGCTCCACATGAAAGATTCTTGAAACCAAAGGCATCAACAATTTTTCTATTTTTGATTGGTCCCCGTATCTCCCAATACTTTTCCACTGTTTTCAGATACATTTTTAGGGTATTGGCTTGCATGCTAAGGATCCATTACCTTCAAGATTCCTGGGGCTCACCTACACCGGTATCTGCACGACGTGCTCCATGGGCAGTTGCTAGGCACTGGCCGTCTCTTGAACGGTTTCTGGGATATGCTTAGAGGATCCTGGGGGTAGTTTTATCTTATATACATACAACATAGCACCACCATGTGACATATACTACAGCTACTACAGATGTCATATGTATATACATATATTATATAGTTAGTTGACATATATAAATATATATATATATATACAAGCAACCATAGCCAAGCAAAAGCTTGGAGCATAGTTTATCTCAAGGGTGTGTGTGCGAGGCTCTTTGCTCACCTACCTTTGTGAGGGTGGTGCATTTGGTGCATGGCAAGCTGGGCGTGGCCGTGGACGATATCCTGATGTTTTGCAAGAGCGATTGCGGGTTGCTTTCCGCCGTTTTGGTGAGTGGAAAAAACAAAAGGGGCTGGTGTCAACACAAGCTAGATTTACATGTGCCAGGCTCAACCGGAAGTTGAGAAGTGATTTTCCTTGTCTGTCCTCAAAGGGTATTGCTTCAAAACGCTTGTCATTTTGGCTGGCTGATGTTGCGGTAGAATGGGCGAACAGGGAAGAAGCAACTGAACTGGACAAACTTGTGGCCAGCTGTGCCTACTCATATGTCAGTTTTTTGCAAATGATTGATGAATACCCCCTTGTGCTTACAAGGCGACAGGCTCAGAACATATTCAAAGCAGGGCTTACCCACCTTCAGACATATTCCAGATTGCGAAGCTTGTCATCTGAAGTTGTTGGGGCCCATGCCAACAACCGGTGTTTGTGGCAGCTGGCTCCCAAGCATCATTACATGATGCATGAACTTGATACTGTCAAGCGCACGAGAATCAACTGCAGGCATTTTACTTTGCTGACTGGGGAAGGATTCATGGGCGTTATTTCCAGAATGGCGAGGCCATGTCACAGGTCCAATGTATCCAAAAGGGTTTTGCAACGGTACAAAGTCAAGCTTGCCTTAAGTTTGCGACGGCACTTCGCGCGAAGAGATTAAAAGAGTGCTATATCTGCTATGTCACATGATGATGCTATCATGGGGCCCTCGTGGTGAGGGGTCGGGAGAAGTAGGGGCCCTCAGCAATTTTCATTGATGATCCCCCAGGCCTACTGAGGGACCGATGTGTGTTTGGATCCTTTGGGTATATATATATATATATTAATGTGTTAATATATACTATATTAAGTATGTCCTGTGCATCTGGGGTATATCACATATACTCCATGTGTGATCAAAGCCACTTGGCCTCCTTTGACTCCGGCATAAAGGGAGCACTGACCTACATGGAATGTGCCAACAATTGGGATGCGGAAATGGGATAATCATGGGATAATCATGGGATAATCATGGGATAATAAGGATCTAGATTAAATCCACCTCCTACACTCCTAGATTCGTAGATCCAACGGGCTAAATCGGGTCTGATGGTTTGTCAGAGAAGGCTACAGGTGGATTTATGGTTGCTTGTGGGTCTTCAATTCGGCTGAACCGACATACATGGATGACGTTCAACATCTACACGTTCGCACCTGCTCCATCCAAGAACCCAAAGGAAATGTCAATTCACAAATTGGCACAAAGTCAATATGGATGCTTCGGAACTGACGTATTCTCATTCCGAATCATTCCCATGGCCTGTGGAGTGAAGGAAGGGCTTGCCAAATCCTGATTGAAAGCAATGAAAGCATAGGAGAGCCCATGATGGAAAATGAAACCCAATAATTGTATGAATATGAATATGCCTACAAATGTCACACGTGCATTCAAAGTCTAAAAAATGGTCAATTGTATCTTATTGTAATCATTACAAGGTAACATGTGGATACGTTTGGTTCATTTACACATTGAGTGTTTGATGTCTGGTCGACCCCGCTTGTGCCACCAGCAAGCCTTCTTGGACAGCGTGTCCTGAAACCTGAGGCAACAAGATTTTCTTGCACTTGGTCCTGGTGGTTCTTTGCGATTGTCCACAAGGTGCCAAATCGCAAAGTCCATTGGCGCATTGAATTTGTTTGTTCGTATCTACCTAAGATCACTCCGCAATTGGTCCGACTTGCAAGTTGCAGCTCAAGTGCAACGAGAGGCGGACAATGACGAAGAGCGGCAGTGCCGTCAACAAAGCCTCGACCGATCTTGACACATCAAGGCCACCCTCAGGGGTTCTTGCTGCTGGCCGTTTTTCCAAATTGAAGGAAAGTACATAGGAAATTATCTGGAAAGCCACTTTAGATAATATAAAACAAATAAAAACAGTATATACTATTTTGGAATATTTTGGGTAATTATCATGTAGTAGAGCCAAGAGCTAGTATTCCCCATGCTCTGTGTGGCTCCCAATCTCTTTGCCACTCTAGTTCAGCTCTTCAACCATCTACAAACCCATGGGCCTGTGGCTGCATTGCGATGCCCGTCACAAATTTTGTCCGCGGCTGTCCCTTCACAGATCCCCGCTGAGCCCAAATACAACAGCGAAGCATCCTCTGATCCTAGTGCGGAGGCGTCTTGAGCTTATGTAATAGAAGCACTCCAAGTCAAAGCCCTGCACCTGTGCCAATGGCCTTAACATGTCTTAACTATGACCATTCATGTGGGAGATCCACTCAAGAAACGTGGCATTTTGCATAAGCTCTATATTGCTCTATGCTTAAAAACAAATGCCTGCTACGAATGCCAAGAAGGTTTGTCTCAGAAGATCTCACTGCTCTTTGAGTCCGTCTCGGAGACCCGAGCACTCCCGCAGCACAACCTTTTCGCCAAGGCTTGAGAATTCACCAAGGCTGCTATAAGGTATGGACCCCCAAGCATGGGGTTGTATACAGGGGCAATCTGTACAAGTATAGGACCCCTGACCCTATACGCACTTTAGTGATCATAAATTGTCTCTCTAAACGAATCCAGAATCAATGACACAACCTCATCTTGGAATCACCAGGGGCTACCCCCTGCATAAAATGAGAGGGGGATTGGAGCAGAACCATCCTGATTTTTGGACAGCTTTATGGATTATTATATTTATATTATATTGTATTCATATTACATCAAGAAATAATATTAAGTATACAATTATGACAAATAAAAACCAATAAAATGCAAATAAAATGAATAAGGTTTCAGGCTTGAAGCGAAACAATTCAAGGAGGCGTCGGGCTACAGGAATCCAAGACACTATCAAAGTAGGCTCGGGAGTTGTAGGCGCCTCACTGCCATCCGAGTCGTGCAAGAGATTCTGTCCGGCGCATGCCCACAAAAGCCAGGGTCACTCAGTTCAGGTAGGCCCTACCTTGTTCAGGTAGGCCCTACCTTGCACGGGATTCCAAAATCCTGCATACATTCGGAAATATGGGAAGAAGCAACTTCGAAATTAATGTATTTCCTACTTGGCTACGAATTCACGCTGGTGACTTGTCGAAATAGAATCATATGTAAATTTAACAACCTTGCAAAGGATGCGAAAAAGAACAATCGAATCGTGTGCAAACATGTGCAAACTATGTTCTGGGTCGCACACACATTCTGCTACGACAAATCGAGAGGGGTTACAGGGATCAGAGAAATGGTTCCACGTATCACGTCTTGTGGTCGTGATGTGTGATCGCAAAAGATCGCTCTTCGTCGTGAGTGATGTCTGCACTTCTTTCTTCAGGTGCAAACATGAAATCCACCAGAAGGAGAAAATCACGTGGACGGCCAGGCATGAGCCGGACTCTCTCTATGGCGCTGCTTTTTGGAGCTTACAAATTTCCTTTGGCTCCATGCAGCTATGGTAGCCATAGAAGCTACGGATTGACTTGACTCGAACTACATGTTGCAGACCTTTGTTCTGCTGTCTCCGAGACATCCATGATCTCATGACTTCCAGTGCACATGAGCATACAAGTGTAGTGTATGGCATACACATGCAGGCAAAATGTCACTGTCATGTCTTTATAAATTCAAACAGGACATAAGAAAGACTGTGAAGGTCACGCAATTGCACATTTGGTTCTTGCAAAATTTGCGAATTGCTGATCTTCTGATCCCGTTCAAATTCCATGAATGTCTGGAGGCCATGCTGGCGACGTCTACTCCTGCAAGCTTGGGCCATCAAAGATCTAAATGCGACTTTGACTGGGCATCGGCCGCCATCACTGTGGAAGATGTTCACTGCAGGCACACGAAGGGTTCCACAAAATCTTTCCCAAACATCAAACTGCAACTTCTGTTTCAAGGTTCTGGCTTCATGTAACGAATCCAGGTGTGCCGCACGGTGTGCCCAATCAGTTTAGCGAAATGCAAACAGTTCGCTCGTTTCGCCCATACAGACTGAGATATTTCAAGTGCAATATCTCCACTTTTTAATTTACAGATTTTACAGAGCTAAGTCAAGGTAAAATTGCACTCCGAGATGGTCTTGGTTGTGCTGTGATTCAAGTCTACCATTTTGCCTCAGGAGCTCGACAGGGGCCCCTACAAAGCCGTAGTCAGGTTAAGCCACAGTCAACACGGTGACTTGTGCTATCACTGTGAATATGTCACTGTAAGGTACTACACTCGGGTCAAGTCCAGTTCTTCCAGGAAATTAGGATTCGACAGTTACAAAAGAAGGCGTAAAGTGGATGAGCATAAGAAACTTGTTTGTTGCCATTGCCATCGTCATCACCACCATCATCATCAGAAGCAAGATATTATAAGGTTTTTGCATACACCACAAGATTGCCCAGACCCCATAGTCTGAAATGACAAAAGTAGGAAAAAATATCTGCTGATTTCGCAATATCAGCAGACTACAGAAGTTTCATGAAGGGCGTGCAAAACTGACATAGAGAAACTACAAACTCGTGTTTGTAAAAAAAAAAGGGTCTGACACTGCAAATCCGCTGTCCATCCCTCTCCCCTGTACAGATTCTTTTCCTGTGGGGCTCCCCACATATGGTCGCATTCTCGAATTGACCTTCCAGCGTGCAAAAAGCATCAAAAAGCGATGCAATTTCTGCAAGGTTTGGACACGTTTCGAGGATTCAGCCGTATCTCAAGACCGCTTGGAGCACTTCCCTCACCGCAGCAATCTGACCTTGAGTTGCGTGCTACACCATTTTTGGAGGAAAAAACATGCGACTTGCTTTCAAACCATTCCCAAAAGAAATAAATGCGAATCCTTTTGGTATTCCGTTTTCAATGGTTCTCAAAGAAGTAGAAATCCAACAGCCTCTGGCTGCCATCCAACCCGCCCAAGGCACCTTTCGCCCAGACGCCTTCCATCAAGCCATCAAGATCTTTCGCATCAATGGCCTGATCTTTTGTGGCCATCGAGTCCGAAAGTTCCATCAACGTCCACTTGGTTTTGTCCCAAAATGGTATACAACATGTACAGTTCTATAGTTGTTCAAGATCCAGTTGAGAAAATTGTTTTCCCAGTGTGTGTGTGTGTGAGAGTGTGTGAGTGTGTGAGTGTGTGTGTGTGTGGGTGGACCATCTGTATAGATGTAAAACTTCCTATTACGGCAGGGGGCCACCGGGGTCCCCAGGGGGTCGGTGGCCAACAAAGACACCCCCTGGGTACCTGTGTAAACGTACCTGTTTCTTTATATAGTCCTGCCCCTGGGCGCCTTTAAGTCGCAGCTGGGGGGAACATATAGTTTATCGCTGTTGCTTTATATTGTCAACGTCTCATGTGACCCTGTATAAATATATACATAATATAATATAGGTTCATTTCATCGTGTTATGTTGTTCTGTTGGTGTGTTTTGCGCGACAGACGCACCCCACATCACAATTCGATAAAACAGTTCTGAGCAAGTGTGTGTGTGTATTTGAATATGTTATTACTAAATATAATATAACATAACATAATATAATATAATAAAATATATTATAACATATTAACATATAATATAATATAATATAATATAATATAATACCAGTAGTACCGCACAAGGCGGTGGCGGAAGTTTCAAAAATAGGAAACCTATAGGAGAGGTTGGTTGTTGTGAATCAGGGATGGCAGAGCGAAGCGACTGATGGACCGAAAGGTGCTTGATCTCTCTCACTCTTTCTCTCGCTTTCTCTGACTATCTACCTACCTACCTACCTACCTACCAATCTATCTATCTATCTATGTATCTATCTGTCTATCGATTTCTCTCTCTCTCTCTCTCTCCCTCTCTTTCGTCCATCTATCTGTCTATCTATCGATCTATCTATCTATCTATCGACCTATCTATCTATCTCTCCGTCTATCTATCTATCTCTCTGTGTATCTATCTATCTCTCCATGTATCGATCTATGCATCTATCGATGTATCTATCTATCTATCTATCTATCGATCTATCTAATATCTATCTTTCTATCTATCTCTCTATCTATCTATCGGTCTACCTGTCTATCTGTGGTGCAGTGTCATTCAGTGTAAGGTAGTGTTGTGTAATGTAGTGAAGTGTAGTGGAATGTAGTGTAGTGTAATGTAGTGTAGTGTAATTTAGTGTGGTGTAGTGTAATTTAGTGTAGTGGAGTGTACTGGAGTGTAATGTAGTGTAATGTAGTGTGACTTCGAAGGGTGCTTCGCGCCACAACGGCGTACACTTTTTGAACATCTGAACCTCCAAAAATGGTCCGAACCCCTAGTGCTTTGGACATTTTGACTTGGAAATGTGCTTCGCGCCACAACGGCGTGCACTTTTTCGACATCGCAACTTCCAAAAGTGGTCCGAGCATGGTGTGCTTTGTACATTTTGACTTGGAAATGTGCTTCGCGCCACAACGGCGTGCACTTTTTCGACATCTCAACTTCCAAAAGTGGTCCGAGAATGGTGTGTTTTGTACATTTTGACTTGGAAATGTGCTTCGCGCCACAACGACGTGCACTTTTTCGACATCGCAACTTCCAAGTGGTCCGGACCTGAGGTGTTTTGTACATTTTGACTTGGAAATGTGCTTCGCGCCACAACGGCGTGCACTTTTTCGACATCGCAACTTCCAAAAGTGGTCCGAGCATGGTGTGTTTTGTACATTTTGACTTGGAAATGTGCTTCGCGCCACAACGGCGTCCAATTTTTCATCGCTCCTGTGGCCAGCTGGGTCCGCACCCGCCGCTTTAGCGAGCCTACGTTTCGACCCTCCGGAGCCACAAATCATTGTAAAAACACAGTGTTTCGCGACTTTCCTACCTTTTCGCGCATCTGTATCTTCTGTCCTCTTACTCTTTCTCTTCTGATCTTCTCTCTTCTAATCTTCCTCTTCTCTCTGCCTCTGCCCTGCTCTGCTTTTCATCTGTCCATATTGTCGGAAGTTTGACTTCTAAACTTCCTTCGGTAATAAAATATAATAAAATATTATAACATATTAACATATAATATAATATAATATAATATAATAAAATATTCTATAATATAATATAATATAATATAAATATAAATATAATATAATATAATATAATATAATAATACAATATAATATAATATAATATAATATAATATAATATAATATAATATTAAATATTAAATAATATATGTTATGTGTTTCCTGTGCATCTGGGGTATGTCACATATACTCCATGTGTGATCAAAACCGCTTGGCCTCCTTTGACTCCGGCATAAAGGGAGCACTGACCTACATGGAATGTGCCAACAATTGGGATGCGGAAATGGGATAATCATGGGATAATCATGGGATAATAAGGATCTAGATTAATTCCACCTCCTACACTCCTAGATTCGTAGATCGGACGGGCTAAATCGGGTCTGATGGTTTGTCAGTAAGTAGCTACAGGTGGATTTGTGGTTGCTTGTGGGTCTTCAATTCGGCTGAACCGGCATACATGGATGACCTTCAACATCTACGCGTTCGCACCTGCTCCATCCAAGAACCCAAAGGAAATGTCAATTCACAAATTGGCACAAAGTCAATATGGATGCTTCGGAACTGACGCATTCTCATCCCGAATCATTCCCATGGCCTGTGGAGTGAAGGAAGGGCTTGCCAAATCCTGATTGAAAGCAATGAAAGCATAGGAGAGCCCATGATGGACAATGAAACCCAATAATTGTATGAATATGAATATGCCTACAAATGTCACACGTGCATTCAAAGTCTAAAAATGGTCAATTGTATCTTATTGTAATCATTACAAGGTAACATGTGGATACGTTTGGTTCATTTACCCATTGAGTGTTTGATGTCTGGTCGACCCTGCTTGTGCCACCAGCAAGCCTTCTTGGACAGCGTGTCCTGAAACCTGAGGCAGCAAGATTTTCTTGCACTAGGTCTTGGTGGTTCTTTGCGATTGTCCCCAAGGTGCCACATCGCAAATTCCATTGGCGCATTAAATATGTTTGTTCGTATCTACCTAAGATCACTCCGCAATTGGTCCGACTCGCAAGTTGCAGCTCAGGTGCAACGAGAGGCGGACAATGACGAAGAGCGGCAGTGCCTTCATCAAAGCCTCGACCGATCTTGACACATCAAGGCCACCCTCAGGGGTTCTTGCCGCTGGCCGTTTTTCCAAATTGAAGTGCCGCACAAGGCGGTGGCGGAAATTTCAAGGATAGGACCCTATAGGAGAGGTGAGTTGTTGTGATGCATGGATGGAAGAGCGAATTCACTGATGGACCGAAAGGTGGTTGGAGTTGTGCTTTTTGGAGTGGTTGCAATGGTTGCAATGGTCCCCTCACTCACAACTCCTGGATGTAGTGTGGTGTAGTGCAGTAGTTGTAGTTGTAGTTATAGTGGGGTTGATGTTGTTGAAGTTGTAATGTTGTAGTTGTAGTTGCAGTTGTAGTGTAGTTGAAGTCTGGTTGAAGTTGTAATTGTCTTAATTGTAGTACGTGTAGCAGCTGCAACTGTAGTTGTAGTGTAGTTGTAGCTGTAGTGTAGTTGTAGTTGTGGTTGTGGTTGTAGCTGTAGTTGTAGTTGTAGTGTAGTGTCATGGTAATTGTAATTGTTGTCGTTGTTGTTGCTGCTGTAGTAGTAGTAGTAGTAGTAGTAGTACTACTAGTAGTAGTAGTAGTAGTAATAGTAGTAGTAGTAGCAGCAGCAGCAGTAGTAGTAGTAGTAGTAGCAGTAGTAGTAGAAGTAGTGTAGTGTAGTTGAAGTTGAAGTTGAAGATGAAGATGTAGTTGTAGTTGAAGTGAAGTGTAGTTGTAGTTGTAGTTGTAGTTGTAGTTGTAGTGTAGCTGCAGTTGCAGTTGTAGCTGCAGCTGTAGTTGCAGTTGCAGTTGCAGTTGCAGTCGTAGGGTAGTTGTAGTAGCTGTCGCAGTTGTAGTTGGAGTTGCAGTGGCAGTGGCACTTGTAATTGTATTTGTAGTTGTAGTAGTTGTAGTTGAGGTTTTAGTTGTAGTTGAAATGTAATTGAAGTTGTAGGTGTGGTTGTAGCTGTAGTTCTTGTAGTTGAAGTGTAGCTGAGTTGAAGTGTAGCTTAGTTGAAGTGTAGTTGAAGTTGTAGTTGTAGCGATCGTGTAGTTGTAGTTGAAGTTGTAGTTGTAGCGTGGTATCGTGCAATTGCAGTTGTCTATCTATCTGTCTATCTTTCTGCCTATCTATCTATCTACCTATCTATCTCTCTATCTATCTATCTATCTATCTATCTATCTCTCTCTCTCTATCTATCTATCTATCTATCTATCTATCTATGAAGAGATGTTTATCTATTTGTCTTTCTATTTATCTATCTATCTATATCTATCTATCTGCGAGTTTGAAAACGAAGCTATTGTGCGAGACGTCCTCAATTCTTGAACTTGACAACATCAAAAACGCAGCAAGTCTGCGAGACTTCCTCAACTTTTGAACTTGACAACGTCAAAAACGAAGCTATTCTGTGAGACCTCCTCAATTTTTCAAGTTGACAACATCAAAAATGAAGCAATTCTGCGAGACTTCCTTCAAAAATAGAAAGTTGAGTGCAGAGCTGACGGCCTCGTACCAATGCGTTTTGCGATTTTTCCACTCCATCTGTCTAAAGTGCATATGAAGTGCTGCACCTGTCACGCAAAATCATCTTAGCAAACCTACAGATCTGATGTTCCAAAATGCAACCCCTCTCAGGAAATCAGCGCCCTAACCTCCTAACATCTCTGATGAACATGTCTCTTGTATGGCGCCTGCCACGCGACATGCATCTTTGCAGATCCTCTGCATATGTCCCACGCCTGCCATCGTTTTTGGACATGCTACAAAACCCCCCACGTTTTGCTCACTTTTGACAAGGTGCAGAATCCCTTCCTTGCGCCTGCCACGCAAAACCACATCTGAACCTTCAAAAGTGGTCGGAGCATGCGGTGTTTTTAACATTTTGACTTTAAATTAAGATATGCTTCGCGCTACAACGGCGTGCACTTTTTCGACATCTCAACTTCCAAAAGTGCTCCGAACCTGGCTTGCTTTGTACATTTTGACTTCGAAATGTGCTTCGTGCCACAAAGGCGTGCAAATTTTGACATCTCAACTTCCAAAAATGCTTGAGACCGTTAGTTTTTAACACTTTTGACTTTGAAATGTGCTTCGCGCTACAACGGCGTGCACTTTTTCGACATCTCAACTTCCAAAAGTGCTCCGAACCTGGCTTGCTTTGTACATTTTGACTTCGAAATGTGCTTCGCACCACAACTGCGTGCAATTTTTCATCTCTCATCTGGCCAGCTGGCTCCGCACCCGCCGCTTTAGCGAGCCTACTTTTCGACCCTCCGGAGCCTCAAATCATTGGAAAAACACAGTGAATCGCGACTTTTCTACCTTTTCGCGCACCTGCATCTTCTTTCTTCTGACTCTTTCTCTTCTCTGATCTTCTCTCTTCTGCTCTTCTCTTCTGTGACTCTTCTCACCTCTGCTTTTTCCATCTGTCCATATTGTCGGAAGTTTGACTTCTAAACTTTCTTCGACTATTTGGATATTTTTGGATAATTATCATGTAGTAGAGCCAACAAGAGCTAGCATTCCCCATACTCTGTGTGGCTCCCAATCTCTTTGCCACTCTAGTTCAGCTCTTCAACCATCTACAAACCCATGGGCCTGTAGCTGCATTGCGATGCGCGTCACAAATTTTGTCCGTGGCTGTCCCTTCACAGATCCCCGCTGAGCCCAAATACAACAGGGAAGCATCCTCTGATCCTAGTGTGGAGGCGTCTTGTGAGCTTATGTAATAGAAGCACTCCAAGTCAAAGCCCTGCACCTGTGCCAATGGCCTTAACATGTCTTAACTATGACCATTCATGTGGGAGATCCACTCAAGAAACGTGGCATTTTGCATAAGCTCTATATTGCTCTATGCTTAAAAACAAATGCCTGCTACGAGAGTGCCAAGAAGGTTTGTCTCAGAAGATCTCACTGCTCTTTGAGTCCGTCTCGGAGACCCGAGCACTCCCGCAGCACAACCTTTTCGCCAAGGCTTGAGAATTCACCAAGGCTGCTATAAGGTATGGACCCCCAAGCATGGGGTTGTATACAGGGGCAATCTGTACAAGTATAGGACCCCTGACCCTATACGCACTTTAGTGATCATAAATTGTCTCTCTAAACGAATCCAGAATCAATGACACAACCTCATCTTGGAATCACCAGGGGCTACCCCCTGCATAAAATGAGAGGGGGATTGGAGCAGAACCATCCTGATTTTTGGACAGCTTTATGGATTATTATATTTATATTATATTGTATTCATATTAAATCAAGAAATAATATTAATGATATAATTACGTATATAAATTATGACAAATAAAAACCAATAAAATGCCAGTAAAATGAATAAGGTTTCAGGTTTGAAGCGAAATCATTCAAGGAGGCTTCAGACTGCAGGAATCCAAGACACTATCAAAGTAGGCTCAGGAGTTGTAGGCGCCTCACTGCCATCCGAATCGTGCAAGAGATTCTGTCCAACGCATGCCCACAAAAGCCAGGGTCACTCAGTTCAGGTAGGCCCTACCTTGTTCAGGTAGGCCCTACCTTGTACGGGATTCCAAAATCCTGCATACATTCGGAAATATGGGAAGAAGCAACTTCGAAATTAATGTATTTCCTACTTGGCTACGAATTCACGCTGGTGAGGGGTCGAAATAGAATTATATGTAAATGTAACAACCTTGCAAAGGATGCGAAAAAGAACAATCGAATCGTGTGCAAACATGTGCAAACTATGTTCTGGGTCGCACACACATTCTGCTACGACAAATCGAGAGGGGTTACAGGGATCAGAGAAATGGGTCATAGTGGTTCCACGTATCACGTCTTGTTGTCGTGATGTGTGATCGCAAAAGATCGCTCTTCGTGAGTGCTGTCTGCACTTCTTTGTTCAGGTGCAAACATGAAATCCACCAGAAGGAGAAAATCACGTGGACGGCCAGGCATGAGCCGGACTCTCTCTATGGCGCTGCTTTTTGGAGCTTACAAATTTCCTTTGGCTCCATGCAGCTATGGTAGCCATAGAAGCTACGGATTGACTTGACTCGAACTGCATGTTGCAGACCTTTGTTCTGCTGTCTCCGAGACATCCACGATCTCATGACTTCCAGTGCACATGAGCATACAAGTGTAGTGTATGGCATACACATGCAGGCAAAATGTCACTGCCATGTCTTTATAAATTCAAACAGAACATAAGAAAGACTGTGAAGGTCACGCAATTGCACATTTGGTTCTTGCAAAATTTGCGAATTGCTGATCTTCTGATCCCGTTCAAATTCCATGAATGTCTGGAGGCCATGCTGGCGACGTCTACTCCTGCAAGCTTGGGCCATCAAAGATCTAAGTGCGACTTTGACTGGGCATCGGCCGCCATCGCGGTGGAAGATGTTCACTGCAGGCACACGAAGGGTTCCACAAAATCTTTCCCAAACATCAAACTGCAACTTCTGTTTCAAGGTTCTAGCTTCATGTAACGAATCCAGGTGTGCCGCACGGTGTGCCCAATGAGTTTAGCGAAATGCAAACAGTTCGCTCGTTTCGCCCATACAGACTGAGATATTTCAAGTGCGATATCTCCACTTTTTAATTTACAGATTTTACAGAGCTGTCAAGGTAAAATTGCACTCCGAGATGGTCTTGGCTGTGCTGTGATTCAAGTCTACCATTTTGCCTCAGGAGCTCGACAGGGCCCCTACAAAGCCGTAGTCAGGTTAAGCCACAGTCAACACGGTGACTTGTGCTATCACTGTGAATATGTCACTGTAAGGTACTACGCTCGGGTCAAGTCCAGTTCTTCCAGGAAATTAGGATTCGACAGCTACAAAAGAAGGCGTAAAGTGGATGAGCATAAGAAACTTGTTTGTTGCCATTGCCATCGTCATCACCACCATCATCATCAGAAGCAAGATGCTATAGGATTTTTTGCATACACCAGTACACCACAAGATTGCCCAGGCCCCATAGTCTGAAATGGCAGAAGTAGGAAAAAATATCTGCTGATTTCCAGCATCAGCAGACTACAGAAGTTTCATGAAGGGCGTGCAAAACTGACATAGAGAAACTACAAACTCGTGTTTGTAAAAAAAATTAGGCTCTGACACTGCAAACCCGCTGTCCATCCCTCTCCCCTGTACAGATTCTTTTCCTGTGGGCTCCCCACAAATGGTCGCATTCTCGAATTGACCTTCCAGCGTGCAAAAAGCATCAAAAAGCGATGCAATTTCTGCAAGGTTTGGACACGTTTCGAGGATTCAGCCGTATCTCAAGACCGCTTGGAGCACTTCCCTCACCGCAGCAATCTGACCTTGAGTTGCGTGCTACACCATTTTTGGAGAAAAAAACATGCGACTTGCTTTCAAACCATTCCCAAAAGAAATAGATGCGAATCCTTTTGGTATTCCGTTTTCAATGGTTCTCAAAGAAGTAGAAATCCAACAGCCTCTGGCTGTCATCCAACCCGCCCAAGGCACCTTTCGCCCAGACGCCTTCCATCAAGCCATCAAGATCTTTCGCATCAATGGCCTGATCTTTTGTGGCCATCGAGTCCGAAAGTTCCATCAACGTCCACTTGGTTTTGTCCCAAAATGGTATACTCCATGTATAGTTCTATAGTTGTTCAAGATCCAGTTGAGAAAATTGTTTTCCCTGGTGGCCCTCTGCCGAAATAGGAAGTTTTACATCTATACAGATGGTCCACCCACACACACACACTCACACAGTTACACACTCACACGCTCACACACACACACACTCACAAACTCACACACACACACTGGTCAAAGACACCCCATGGGGACTTGTGTAAACGTACGTGGTTCTTTATATAGTCCTGCTCCTGGGCGCATTTAAGTCGCAGCTGGGGGGAACATATAGTCTATCGCTGTTGTTTTATATTGTCAACGTCTCATGTGACCCTGTATAAATATATACATAATATAATATAGGTTCATTTCATCGTGTTATTTTGTTCTGCTGGTGTGTTTTCACTCCACTTCACAATTCGATAAAACAGTTCTGAACAAGTGTGTGTGTGTGCGTGTGTATTTGTATACTATATATATTTAATTATCATTATATATGTTATGTATTTCCTGTGCATCTGGGGTATGTCACATATACTCCATGTGTGGTCAAAACCCCTTGGCCTCCTTTGACTCCGGCATAAAGGGAGCACTGACCTACATGGAATGCGCCAACAATTGGGGTGGAAATGGGATAATCATGGGAAAATAATGGATTGATCATGGATAACAATGGGAAATTAATTCCACCTCCTACACTCCTACATTCGTAGATCCAACGGGCTAAATCGGGTCTGATGGTTTGTCAGTAAGTAGCTACAGGTGGATTTATGGTTGCTTGTGGGTCTTCAATTCGGCTGAACCGGCATACATGGATGACGTTCAACATCTACACGTTCGCACCTGCTCCATCCAAGAACCCAAAGGAAATGTCAATTCACAAATTGGCACAAAGTCAATATCGATGCTTCGGAACTGACGTATTCTCATTCCGAATCTTTCCCATGGCCTGTGGAGTGAAGGAAGGGCTTGCCAAATCCTGATTGAAAGCAATGAAAGCATAGGAGAGCCCGTGATGGAAAATGAAACCCAATAATTGTATGAATATGAATATGAATATGCCTACAAATGTCACACGTGCATTCAAAGTCTAAAAAATTGTCAATTGTATCTTATTGTAATCATTACAAGGTAACATGTGGATACGTTTGGTTCATTTACCCATTGAGTGTTTGATGTCTGGTCGACCCTGCTTGTGCCACCAGCAAGCCTTCTTGGACAGCGTGTCCTGAAACCTGAGGCAACAAGATTTCTTGCACTCGGTCCTGGTGGTTCTTTGCGATTGTCCCAAAGGTGCCAAATCGCAAATTCCATTGGCGCATTAAATTTGTTTGTTCATATCTACCTAAGATCACTCCGCAATTGGTCCGACTCGCAAGTTGCAGCTCAGGTGCAATGAGAGGCGGACAATGACGAAGAGCGGCAGTGCCGTCATCAAAGCCTCGACCGATCTTGACACATCAAGGCCACCCTCAGGGGTCCTTGCCGCTGGCCGTCAAATTGAAGTACCGCACAAGGCGGTGGCGGAAATTTCAAGGATAGGACCCTATAGGAGAGGTGAGTTGTTGAGATGCATGGATGGAAGAGCGAATTCACTGATGGACCGAAAGGTGGTTGGAGTTGTGCTTTTTGGTGTGGTTGCAATGGTTGCAATTGTCCCCTCACTCACAACTCCTGGATGTAGTGTGGTGTAGTGCAGTAGTTGTAGTTGTAGTTATAGTGGGGTTGATGTTGTTGAAGTTGTAATGTTGTATCTGTGGTTGTAGTTGCAGTTGCAGCTGTAGCGTAGTTGAAGCACGATTGAAGTTCAGATTGTCTTAATTGTAGTACGTGTAGCAGCTGTAACTGTAGTTGTAGCTGTAGTGTAGTTGTGGTTGTGGTTGTAGCTGTAGTTGTAGTTGTAGTGTAGTGTCATGGCAATTCTAGTACTAGTAGTAGTAGTAGTTGTTGTTGTTGTTGTTGTTGTTGTTATTGTTGTTGTTAGTAGTAGTAGTAGTAGTAGTAGTAGTAGTAGTAGTAGTAGTAGTAGTAGTAGTAGCAGCAGCAGCAGCAGGAGCAGTAGTTAGTAGTTAGTAGTTAGTAGTTAGTAG